TAAAGAAGAATGTTGGAGGATTTCGATATAAGCCAAGAGGAGACTGGTTTTCTTTGCTAAAGTAAGGAAACTTTGCTTCCTTTGCTCCTGTTAACAAACGTTGGTTTTCACGAGACTCACCTACGCATGTGCAGCGCTGAACTCATACGTCATCCGCCCGGAACTGCTTCCGTTTACAACAGTGAGCGCAAGCTACATTAGTGATTACGTTTTGAATATGAATATTTTTCTTACAAAAACGCATCGATTCACTACAGGAGGCCTTTGTTCACCCCCCGGAGCCGTGTGAGACATTTTTTTTTATTGGATGGGCGCTTTTTTATTTAACTTCTTTTGGACTGATGCATGCAACACCCGCTGAGTGGCATTAAACAGCTTGAAAGATCAAAGACAATTTTTTATATAACTCAGACTGGATTCGTCTGAAAGAAGAAAGTCATATACACCTAGGATGACTTGAGGGTGAGTAATTTATGGTCTAATTTTCATTTTTGGGTGAACTAACCCTTTAAGCTGGTTAAGCTATAATAGGGAGACCAGCACACTAGCATCCCGTCTAAACACAACATATGCTGGTAACCAGCAATACTGATCATTTTACAAGAGAAATTGCTTAGTATATTGAAAGTACATTAGAGGATAACACTCATGTATGAATGTTCTTTGACCATCCTGTAGGAACGTAGTTCCATCCATCCTGCACATTTATCCTCCTGAGGCCTATTAATGATTCAGGTGCATTATGGTTTTTCTTTTTTCACACAGTGGCCTGGAAAATATCTGCTATTCATTCAGATTGCACGTCTCTCCATCGCAGGCTCCCTTTAGCATAGACGCTGAAGGAACTATCAGGGGAACAAATGGCCATCATTCAAAATCAGCACTCCAAAACAACAGCAGGATTTTGTTACTATGGAAAAAGCGGTCATTAAGAACAGTACTTGTTTTGATACTTCAACACGAATCCAAATCCCAGTCAACATCCGGTTTGGTTGCTTGGTTATGGAGGTACGACAGTAAAATAACAGCTTAAGCCCTTTTAGAAAAGACTTGAGTCTTTAAAAAAACAAAGACAACATCCATAATGTCTGTCGAACATGAGGTTGGGAGAGATAAACGTACTGAGCCCTCGGATCTCTTAGTGTGAAGGGGAGTTTGCACAGAAGGAGACCCTCTGGCATCAAAGTGGAGCCTGGAGCTCAGCCAAGACTTAGCATGGAACAATCCCTCTCCCCTCTCGCTATGAGTCATAGTGTGCGTGTACTGTACTTCACAGCAAACCTTTAGCATGCACATTCGCTGACATATTCAGCCTAATTTACTGGAAACAGAAGATTCATATTACTCTTTCTCCTTCTTGAGCTGCCTTTTCTCTTAGGAACAGAGACTGTGCATTCAGAAAAACATTTTTTTGTGTTTCATAGAAATGTGCATAATCACATAATGATGCACGTAACAAACATATGCACTTACAATTCCCACCTCTCATACAAAATAGAAACTTGCAACCAGCCAAAATGTACAAAATGTAGTTGTGCATGCCATGGCTTGACTACTTCACTGTTGCTATTGTTCACAGTAAGGGGTTTTCCAATCCCCTAATGATCAGTATTAAACTTTGGTGCAACTTGTCACACATTTTGCATTATGAAAGGTATCTCAAATTCTGCAGCTTGTTGAGAAGCATGATAATTAGCTTTCTAATGTACAAATACCCTGTTAAATTTACGGTAAAAAGGTAGCTGTGGATTCCAGAAATTCACTGTAAAATTTACAGTGGAAATGTTTCAGGTATTACGGGGTGGCAAATTGACGTCTGTATTTTTTATAACTTACAGCCACATATTTCATTAAGTGACTTATTGTCTACTTAAAATCTTTTATTTTAAAATGTACTAATAACCACCCATAATAATACAAGGGGTAAAACAAAGTGCCACATTCATGGTAAGTAAACATGGTCAATACTCATATGCAGATGGTGCACAGGTCATGCACATAAAGAAAAACACCATAAGGGTAACACATAACACTAAAACAATGCAATAAACATTAACCAAATAAAAGGAAATGGAAGGAATTCTATTATTTTATGGAAAATAAAATTATATAAATTATAATTATAAGAGGTGTCATGCTGGGACCTTTTACTGTTTTCACCTGAAATTATATTATAATTCACATGATAATTCATCATAATTGATCATTTTTACTTCACAAAAACTATACTGTAGTGACAGTATTTATAGTGAAATTACAAATAATGCAATGCAAAGTTTTCACTGTATGTATG